GACCGTGACGTGACGTGACTGAAAAATCGTGGTCACGCAGAAGTCTATTGTGAATGTATTGTTACAAATAAATCTATTTAATTTTGTAGATGTGAATGTGAACTACTCTTTTATTCTAATACCCAAACCAAATCGTACATGCACAGTCACTACTTGGAAACAAGTCAAATATAGAAAACGTCGAAGACTATCTTAATTACATTGTGTTGATTGCCTTTAATCAATAAACTCATGTTTCTGAGATTCACAGAAAAACCTTTCATAGCTTCATTCTATAGGTTTCAGTGACATATCTTGTCAGAAATCTGACTGAAATATGCAATAAATCATTTTTAATAGTTTATTCTTTCATATATTTCTTTCTTTTTTTTTGATGTACGCAATAGCAGTGTAAACAGGAAAATCGGTGAAAACATTTTTACTCATTCTGTTTGACTTACGTTTGATTTCAAGTGCTGCTTTTTCGAGTGACATTTCGGTGTTTTTTCTACCACGCTGGGTAGCTGTTTTATCGGGGGAAAATGACGCTCAATTATCTTTCATATAGTGTTCCTATGCTGGACATAAAAATTTCTGTTAGGTGTGGGTGGATGTGAGTGGATATAATCTCTACAGATAACTCCATTCACACCCATATCCGCTTACACCCACAGGGTGTGGGTGTGAGATGTGGGTGTGGAGTGTGAGTGTGTGGGTGTGTGGATGTGGGTATTGGTGTAGGTGTGAGATGTGGGTGCGGAGTGTGAGTGTGAGGGTGTGGGTGTGTGGATGTGGGTATTGGTGTAGTTGTGGGTGGGGTGTAGGTGTGGAGTGGGTGTGGGTAAGCGTGTGTAGGGTGTGGGTGTTGGTCATCTGTTCACACATATCCACATCCATGCCCATACCCACACTCATACCCATCCACCCACACTCATACCCATCCACCCACACCCTTACCTACTCACCCACACCCACACCTTATGTGTGCTGTGGTTGAACTGTGAATTTACATTCACACCCCACAGCCACATCCACGCCCATACCACACACTCACACCCATCCACCCACATCCACCTACACCCACCCCCACCCTCACACCCCACACCCCACACCCACACCCTTACTAATGAAAGATTAGTTTATTCAACTGAATCAATCTTTGATGTTAATTCACTAGCAGAAAGTTTAATTATTGTTTCATTAGAGAGATATTTTTGAATTTTTGTTTTCATCAATAGTCATTCTTAATGATTTCGGTTGATGACTTGAAACAGATATTATTTGAATATGAATATCACTACGTATTTTTGTATCTGACGAAAGAATTAATGAACCTTGTTGTTGTTGTTGTTTTTCATGATGATATCTACGAAGATTGTCTAATTTTTTTATGATTAATGGATTGATTATCTAACTGATTTTGTTGAAATTTCTCATGAAATGTTTCGAAAATAACTATGAATTAGGAGAAGAATTTTGTTTTTGATGTTTCAGATATATACTTAATTGATGCAGATCTTCAACAGAATCAATCTTTTGTTGATGAATTATTTTATTTTGATCTTGTTCTATATGAATAGATGATAATTTATCTGTTTGAATTTGTATTTGATCAATATCAGTATGCATTTTAGAAATTTGTACTTGATCACTTTGACTACGTTTCTATAAAATTTTATCATAATTCTTTAAAAGTTCATGGATTTGTTCATTAATTTGATTTTTATCGAGAGATGTTTCATTGATAAGTTGATGACTTCATTGAACTTTTGAAGTTTTCATGTTCAAATAATTGTTGATTATCAATTGTCGAAGGAATTTAAATTTCTATTGGATTATTTTCCTTGATATTCTATCTTGTTCTTGAAAAGATTCAATCATTTGAAGTTTGTTTGAAATAGTATGTTCAGCAATTAATTGCCGAGTAAAACTACCAATAATAATCGTTTCATCATATTATTTTTGTAAATAATTAATTTCAATCTAAAAAATTTTATGATTTTTTGAATCTATAAAATCTAATGACGAAAGTTGAGTAATATCATTTTGAGAATTTTTTGATGATCAATATTGAAAATGATAAATTTGACATGGAAATTCTTCTTGTATGAATATTTGTATTTCTAGTTGGTGTAATATTGTAGAAGATGATATTATTGATAGTATCAGTTCTTGTTTAGAAGTTAGTTTATGTAATACAGGTAGTTGAGATGATATACGCTTAGATAAACGTTCGTATTGAAGAGATTGAATAATTGTATCTATGGTTAAACAATAAAATTGATTACCAAGAATATTAAGATGTAGTGATTTCCAAATCTATGTGGGTGTGGATGTGTGGATGGGGGTGGGTGTGTATTTAATTCATACGCACCCACATACTCAGATTCACACTCACACTCACACCCACACCCTCAAGTTTATTAAAAAGAACAAAGCAATAGAATTTAAACTTTAATTTGTAGAATGACAAAATAATTGATAGTTTTACATTGATTCGAGAAAAACATGAATCTTATTCACATCATAAACATAAAAGAATCAACATTGCTTATAAATCTATTGAACATCATCATTAAAATGTAATAATTTATATTTCCTATTTTGATGTAATCAATGACTTCTTTTTATTTTGATAATTAAAATGATTATTTTTTGAAATAAATATATTAGTCGCTATTAAAGTATAAATCAATATGAGCAATTTCATTGATTAGCGATATGATTCCGTAAAATAAAAATATGTATATTACAATTGAATTATTTTAGTAAAATAATCTCATTTATCTGTTCTTAAGTACAATGAACTACTCAATCGTGACTGAATCTGTTTTCACTCCTATGTTTCTGTATAAATCACTTAGGACATACCAAAAGTAGTGGCGCCCGCATCTCAGTTTCTTATAGAAGGCCTGAGTAAATTTTCTTTTTTTATGAGATGATAGAGAAAACGAAGCTCTATTTTTCTGTGCTAATTCATCTCTATTTAACTGATATCATAATAATAGAATTTCGATAAGAACTGTTTTTGCGTAAAATTGCACTGACGCGTGAGGCAGATTAAATATTTGAATCGCTTAATACGTTGTATTAAAAAACAAAATATACCAAATGATGCAGCGTGAAAAGCTCTACAATTTACATAAGATGGCTTTTTTTATAATTGTACTTTTTGTTTTCAAAATGAATAAAATTTTGATTGACCAAGTTTCGAACGTGCGAAAACAATAGTTTTTGATGTAAGATGAGTTCATTTGTTCTTATTTCATCTTTTTGTCATCTGATATCCTTTATTTAAAAAAAACAAAATATATCACAAGATGCGGCGTGAAAAGCTCTACAATTTACATAATAAAGCTTGTTTTAATTATGTTGTCTTGTCAAAAGAAAACAAAATTCTGTGTAACCAATCTTCGTTGCCCGAAAAAAATCATGGAAAGAGAAATTTCTTTTTACTTATTTCAAATACAAAATAAACTATTCTTTAAAAATTGTAGAGCATTTCACGCTGCATCTTTTGGTATCTTTTGTTTTTAAGTATAACGTATTAAATGATTAGAAATTGGAATAGAAAGCGTACTAATGCACTAGTGAAGTTTTACACAAAAACAGTTCTTATCGAAGTTCTATTATTATGATAGCAGTTAAATAGAGATGAAATAGCATAGAAAAATAGAGCTTCGTTTTCTCTATCACCTCATAAAAAAAAGAAAATTTACTCAAGCCTTTTATAAGAAATTGAAATGCGGGCGCCACTACTTTTGGTATGCCCTAAGTAAAAGGAGGACTTAGCCTTAGCCGGTGCCCCAAAGTGGCGCCAACGAACTACTAATCGTTCACATAGCAAGCATACTGCAGACTGACGTCACAAAAGATCTGTGTATCGGCTAGATATTTTGAAGAATAGTGCACTAAGATTTTCCTAATGAGGATCTTGAAGAAAGCTCAGATTTTCCAGCTATACAATCGTTTTGAGGAAATCAGAAATAACTCATGAGAAAACTTCTGTTCAAAAATTCTTGTCGATAATTCTGATGCTTTAGATCTAATGAGTTTTTGAAATAAGTTAATCTTGGGCTAGATGGAATTGAAATACAGAGAGATAGTATTATGAAGGAATGGGGCTGGCTGCTGCACTGGGTTATCTCCAGAAGTGACGTTTCAAAGTGTTGAGATTCATTGAATAAGCGTCAATAGTCGAGGTCTAATTGGTCTGAATAAGGAATATCAGATACAAAAAACTGAAAAAAACCAAGTCAAGTCAAGGATGAGAAACAGTTTTTGTGTTTGGATACAATATCTGAATAATTCATCAGACGAAAAACATTATTGGAAGAATTAATATTTGCTGTATCGGCAGTGGACATGAATGAAATACAAGAGTGTTTCTTTTGATATATGGTTTTCTTTGTATTAATTCAAGTATCTGAATGTATACTGATATATTCAAATTACCTGTCTAGTCTTATTGCTGCTTTGAATAAGAGCTTGTTGTATGTATCATATTTTGATTAGCGATTAGATTATAATATGATTTATTTTAAGCTAGGGGTTGCACTGAGCTCTTTGTTTCCTAGAGAACGCTATGGTCAACAGCATTATCGACAAATGTTCTAGTAGAATTTTCAAAGAGTATTCTGCGTTTTCGTATAACTGTGTGAACTTCTTTTGCTACGTGACCTCTGAAAAAATTGAATATGATATCTTCTAGTTTTTCGAAGTAAGCCGAGTTCGAGGTCAGGTGGAGTGTAAATAAAGAAGAATTGTGTTATGGACAAATAGAATGAAACATAGCAGCGGCTAGCCACTGCACTAGAAAGTCCCTTGAAGGAAGACTTTAGGCTGTTGGCATTCATTCAATAAATATCAACAGTCTAGATCTAACAAGTTTGAATAAGGAGTAGTAGTTGCTAAGAACCGAGAAATATTTTGAAATAAGGGTGTGACAACGCCTCTTTTGCATGTGCACAGTATATGAATAGTAGATTTGACGGAAAACATCACTTGAACAATTTATATTCATGTTATCGGAATGAGAATTGATTGAACTAAACCGAGTTTTCTGCTGGGATGTTTTCTTATCCACCATACTCATTCAAATGTCGATATGTATACGGATATATTGAAATTACCTATCTCGTCTGACGACTATTTTCAGTAGAAGCTTCTTTCAAGTATGATAGTCTGATTACAGACCGGACCTAATATGACTGATTTTAAGCTAAAAGTTCAACTAAACCCGTATTTTTCCAACAGACGCTCTAGTAAACCATTTCGTTATTTCATGGGTTAGTAAGCGAGCAGATTTTTAGTAGAAATTTTAAAGAGCATGACACGCTTTCAAAAAGTTTCACGAATGCGTTTTGATGCATTGCCTTTCAGCAAGCTGGATATAATCTATTTTCTGGTACATGTGGACAATGCCGCCATAGTGTAGTTCTCTAGATTCTCGTTCAGTATCAATGATAGGATGTCAATTTGATTAGATGTATTTGTGATAAAAATGTTCATCCGGATCCACATACCATTGTGCACAACGAGATTGGCGTTAATACCAGCGTACACATACCTACTCACTCTTTCGAAATATTGGATACTAGCTATGTTGAAGACTGTAAAGCACTATAAAATATCAAAGGGCCGAATATACAGTCAAGAGTCAAGCGAGTCATACGGACGAGCGTTACTTGTAATGTTCAGTGTTAGTTCATCACGATTGAATTAACACAGAACGTCACATGAAAAAGCTGCTGAACATAAAAACTTTCGTTATTTTGTATTCCACTTAAAACGATGGCATTCATCATGAAAATCCAAAGATAACTACATTCCTCTCATCGACACGTGCAGAAACAAGAATATGTTGGTAAAAGAAAAATTATCTGTTGTGGCACATGTTAATTAAAGAAGTCATCAAAATGTCAACATTTTTTCCGTTTTTGTATCAAATTTTAGCTGCTGGAAAGTTTTAAAAATAGTACATGACAGTGTTGTTAAAGTTTCGTCATCTCTACCAACAACTATAGATTTCAAACTTTGCTTTTATGTAGTACTATCTATATACAATAATCTGCCAAAATTTCAAAGACTTTGCCTTTTTGTTTACGATAAGGAAAATGGATTTTAAAATTGTTTCAGAACTTCTGGAACACCCTTTATATCACATTGAATAGTAAGAATTGTATACATGTAAGTTCATCTCCTGTAATAATATATATATTTATTATTTATGGAAAAATCATAATATTATAAAACATACCTTTCACATACTTCTAGAAATGCGTTGAAGTATAGCCAAATCATAAAGATGTTTCCTATCGAAGTAAACATGATGTCATTAGAAACAAAAATGCGTTGAACTTCTTTACCATATAAATTTCCAGCCAACAAACAGCTTCATTTCTCTACACGATAGCGAATGTATTGAAGTCTAACGCTTTTTGTTCTCAATATTAGAGTTTCTACAAATTTTAACAGTCGGAATAAGCTCTAAAACCTCAATTAATTAACAATTTTGTTATTAAAAACTTGTGTCCTCTAAAAAATACAGCGAAGACTTACAGTTCCTAATGTTTTTCTCATCAACAGGTGGCGTTGTCTATAAATTGCAATAATTGTTTATGATAAAAAAACTTTTCTATTGCCGAAAGCTAACGTCCTCTACAAACTACAGTAACTATCAAAAGCTAATACACTTTTTCTTATAAAAAGAGTTGCGATCTCTACAAATTTTAGAAAAGTTAGTTAAAATGTAGTATCTTTTTGTTTAAATGTTTTTAAAATTTAATTTCTAGAAATCTTTTCAAAAATCAAATATTTCAAAATTGACTAAAAATTTTTCCTGTTTCACAAAAAGCTTGAAAAACTTATTAACTTTAACCTAAATGAAATTTTATTAATTTAAATTTGATCAAAATTTACTTTTTTTGTTTAAATGGAGAAAATGATCAATTAA